AAAAAAAAAAAAAAAAAAGTCGCAATAAGGTTATGGACCTCTTCGGGATATACATTTTCCAATGCCTACCACTTTTATCCTCATCCCTGGCTATAGTTGGCACCCTTGTTCTTCGCAACCCATTTCCCTTTCCTTCCATCGCTCCGATTCAACCTTTCTGCAGTAACTTTGCTACGTCTACCCCTTCTACAATGCAGATGGAGCCCACACGTCGTTCGCAATTATCTACCAGACTAAAGTGTACTACACGCCAAACCACCACTTAAATTTACACCGCCCATAAAAATGTCAAATCTTCATACACTCCTTGCCAACCTTTATACAAGGATTATTTAGTTCATTCTTGTGTTGACGGAGTTTCTTCTTAAAGTCTTCGCGTTCCTCTCTGGTTTTAGGTTCGTCAAACCCGTACGCTCCATTAAACATTACAGATAATTTTCAGAGACAGTTTCAAATCATAACACTCAGGTAACGCATTGTGCTACATGTCTCGTCTATGTCAACCATGTCGACTGGTGTCTGCTATCAAAAATTACGATAGGGATGAGTTTATATTTAACTTTTCAATAATGAAAAAATAATCATACTTTTACAATGTTATTGGCTACTATTTTTCAGAATATTACGTAATAGCAATACGAAGTAAATGTGCTGATTTGTATTGGTGTCGAGATTACAACGCGGAGCAGGTGCGTGTGACGTCATGTACATTCGTTTCATGGTTAGTGCGAAGAGTTGTTCAAGTTAAGGAGGAGGAAGAAATGTGAAAAAATTGTAGTCATATGAGTGTGTTTATGTGTGCTGGTTTACGTAGTTAATATGTTTTTGACGTTCGGTGTAAGTGGGAGGTGAAGTTTTAAATGTTTCCGCTATGTCGAAGAGCTCCAAAAGTCAACTTAAAATTGACAGCGGTTCAGTGGAAGTGAAAAGCAAGGTGAGTAACTAAGGCTAATTACCTTTCATGTAGTGCCATGTAATTCGTAAGAATATGTATGTTGTTGCGGTCATAGTTGAGTTATAATTAATGGTGGGTTATTTACCATTAATCATACAACCCGAGTGAAAATTAAACAATATGAAAATATAATAATGGGTACTTGTGAACAATATTCGTTTCATTCATGCACGTTTCAAAGGGCTAACACAAAATATTGATATTAATAGTACGCACCATTTATGATATTGAAGCTTATTACCATGCTTTCTACCACTAAGTTCAGAACTGTCTCCTCCTGCCGCCGATCGAAAGAGGTAACAAAATACTTAATGCTGTAATTTCGCGTTATTTTGTGTGGGTGTGAAATACGAGTGTGTCACGCTGAGGGACGAAAATTGACGGTGTTTGGAAACGGGTTGTTAGGAGAGTATGTGACCTAAGAGGGAGATAGACGAGAAAGCTGGACAAAACCGCATACTGAGGAACTGTGTGCGTTTTACTTTTAATCAAACATTCTTAACCTAATCAGGTATAATGAGATTGATGGTAAATGTAACATGTACTCGAGGGAGATGAGAATTTAATTTAAAATTTTATTCATAAAACATGAAGACACTACTTGCTAGACTTAAGTGTAGGTGGGAGGATGATATTAAAGTGGATCTTAAAGAAACAGGGCATGAAGATGTGTAGTGAATTCATGTGGTTCAGAATAAATTTGAATGTAATAATGGACTATCTTCATAGTGTGCTTCCTGTTGTGTATTCAGATATATATATAGTTAGGTTAAACCATCACCACAACACAAATGTGTACTTGATTTAATGTTTTATAATTAAAACTGTTATTTCTGCTACATGCTTCGGTCACAAAGGACCATCATCAGGCAGTCAATATGGGAATGTGTCTAGTCACTGAATTACTATTATGGATCCATACTAGTGCAACGTGTTGTACTATATGATAAGAGAATTTGCCTCAAGTTACATAATAAGTATTGTAATTAAGTATATAAAATATAAAATATCTGTATGTGTATACATGTAATTTTTTTAATGCTAGTGGAGTAGGACTAAGTCCCTTGTACTGTGGCCACTTCTGGCCGCAGTACAAGGAGAAAACCTGCCCCAGCGCCACTTTGTCCACCACAAATCCCACTTGACCAGACCCGGGATCGAACCCAGGCTGCCGCGTTGGGAAGCCAGTGACTAACCGCTTGAGCTATGGCGCAGCCCCGTGTGTACATGTATCTGGGATATATTGAAAAGTGTATATAAGTAGGTTGATTATTTGTGAAAAATATTACAAAATATTTAAAAAATATTAAAGCTTATTAAAAATATTAAAATATACATGAAAACTTAATTTCAAGGTTCTAGTGCCACAGTATAGTATTAAGCATATTGTTATGTGCTTGGTGGATCCTTGTTGTTAAAACAGGTCATAGAGCCCAGGATAAGTGTCAATCTCAGATAAGTTCATATATAGGGCTATTATGTTGTGTAATGCTAAAAGTACACATATTTCACTGATACGAGTTGTGTTATTTGTACTACACTGCATGGTTTGATATGAACCAAGCAGTGTAGTACATATCTAATACACACACACACCATAATAATGACCACAAATAACACAACTCATATCGTTGTAATACGCGTACTTTTACATATTTCAGATCGACACTTACCCTGGGCTCTGTGACCTGTTTTAAGAACCTGCTTTAACAAGGATCCATCAATCACATAACAATATGCTTAATACTACGCTGTGGCACTAGAACCTTGGAATTAAGCTTGGTATACTTTAATATTTTGTAATATTTTTCACAAATAATCAACATACTTGTATGCACTTTTCAGTATATCCTAGATATGTGTGTATACATACAGATATTTTATATACTTAATTATAGTACTTATTATGTAACTTGAGGCAAATTTTCTTTTCATATAGTATGACATGTTGCACTAGCATGGATTCAAAATAAGCAATTCAGTGACTAGACACATTCCTGTATTCACTGCCTGATGATGGCATGTAGCAGAACTAACAGTTTTAATTGTAAAACATTAAATTGAGTGTACATTTTTGTTGTGGTGATCATTTAACCTAGCTATTTATGTAGTAAATTACCCTTGAATTCTATAAAGAAGGGCAATGTAACTATATGAGGGACTAGTAGTAACTCAAGAAGGACTCTGCTGCATGAAATTGGTTGAGTTCATGGCCTGGATATTGTATTTCATTGTATTAGACAAGAAACCATGTCTTACTATAGATCAGTGGTTCCCAAACATTTTGGGGCTACCACCCCATTGGTTCCTTAAACTGATCCCTAGTGCCCCCTACCTTACCCTATAAAAAGCATTTATCATAATAACACTTGCACAACCCACTAAGGAAGATAACAATAAAATAAGATACCATATTTAGTAACTACTTCACCGTTAGTAAAGTTCTAATGTGATGGATGGGCTTGATGAAGTTACACCAGTTTCTCATTTTCAATCAAATAAGGGAACAACACATTCAGAGGGGCCCAACTCCAGTGCTCCTGCCCAACCCAGTGCCTTTTAGCACCCTAGTTAGTTAGTTATTGGAGAGGGTGGGTTTCCCCATGCACTTAGACCTGTATTGGTCCATTGTGCTTCCCTCTATGATTTCTACCAGTCCCTATATCCTACCAGTACTTGTGCTTACCATCAGTCCCGCCCAGCCAGCGAGACCGGCTCTGCTAGCTGAGAGGTATCTATAATGCTTCCCCCATCTACCAGAGGTATTAGAGACACGGGACCCACGGCTTAAAGTCCCTCCCGGAGGGCTTGTTCCCTGAATTTTTCCGCCCTTAAAAATTCGACGACCTCCCCCGGGTATTTGAACCCGCGTACTACGAGTCATGAGGTGGGAACATTACCTCTAGACTACGGAGGCCGCTTTTAGCACCCTAAGTAATGACACTGATCCCCCCAGGAGGCAGTGCAGCCCTCTTTTGGAACCACTGCTGTAGAATGTCATGTGAGTAAGTGATGCTGCACTTCTGTGCCATTTCCAGTGTACCTAATTTGGGTTGTGTTGATGTTATCTTTAACTCTTTAAAGCACAGTGAAAACTGTATGTGTCACATACTTTAACATTCTAAAACTGTGCATTTTGCCATAGGGGGTATCTACATGTTTCATGTGATCTAACAACAGTGATTGTTTTCCTACACTACATTAACTGGGTGTTCATGAGTTTTCTGTCAGGGAAGAACTGAATGGTTGAACATTATATAGATGAGTTTGAGGCTTCATACATATAATTTAACAGAAGAATGTCACATAAATTATCAGAAGTGGAGAATTTGTGGCACTCATCTGCTTCACTGTAATTGTTTTTCTCTTCCATCCATCATAATCATCTCGTTGCCTCATATACAGCATGTTTACCCTCCAAAATTATCATATACAGTTTGTACACTGAATTTTAAGTTTCATTTCATTTGTGTAGGAACATAGTGTATTCATTCATTTAATTTAAAATTCCATGAATCCTCTCTGGTCACAATGTGCCTAGGATGTAGAACATGTCAGATTACTCTATGTACTGCAATAACTAATGTAGGTAAATAGTTACCATTGTCACAATCATGTTGTAAAAACTAAATCATAATATATACAATTCGATAGCAGTCTAAAATATACAGTTCATAAAATTGAAAAATTAGTATATAATAAAAGTTCCATAGATACAAACGTAAAATACTATTATTAATACCTTGTATTTAGTATTAGTTGTTAAAAATANGTCATCATGGGTTCGGGTTACATATTCATGAATCTCATTATTGGAATTGAATAGACTTGTATGTTTGTTCTTTATTATGAAGAGAACTAATGAATATATATATATATAGTGAATATAATGTCATTATTTTCAGTTGCTTAAAGATATTCCTACAAGAATCCCTAGGTTTAGTGTTTGTTAAGATTCTTATGATTTTCTTTTGTAAGACAAACACTTTCTTGGCATGAGAGGAGTTACCCCAGAAAATTATGCCATAACTCATGATAGAGTGAACATAGGCAAAGTAGATTAGCCTTAGTGTTGGAAAGGTTAGTATATATTTAATGTTGCGCAGCGCATAACATGTAGAAGTTAGTCTATTGATCGTCAGATTTGTATGCTGTTGCCAAGATAAAACATCATCAATAGTTAAACCAAGGAACTTAGTTACTGTTGCACTTGGAATACTTTTCTGTTCATAACTGATGTAGGTCTCTGTATCGTAGCGTTTTGTGGTTCTAAACTCCATATATTGAGTTTTATTGAAATTTAGTTTAAGTAAATTAGCCTTAAACCAAGTGTTTCTATCTTTAAAAGTTGGTTAAGATTTATTTTATAGCTTAATTTATTGGGTTCTGTTATTATGATACTAGTATCATCTGCATATAATACCATGCTATTATCTGTATTTATCGTTTTTGGAAGATCATTTATGTATAGCAAGAAAAGCAGAGGACCAAGAATTGAGCCCTGTGGTACTCCACATTTTACTTTCTCCCATCTAGATGAATTATCACCATCAGTTGTATGGCCCAGAGCAACTCTTTGCTGTCTGTCAGTCAAATAATATTCGATTAGTGTTTTAAAAATACCATGTACTCCGTAAAAATCAAGTTTATCCAATAGAATTCCATGGTTTACACAATCAAAGGCCTTTTGTAGGTCGCAAAAAATGCCTCCCACAATTTGCTTATTATTCATAGCTGTGGAGATACTGTTAATCAATGAAAATGCTTCCTTCTCCGTAGACGAATGTGTCCTAAATCCATATTGTTCGAGGGCCCTCACCTTCATTATACTGCAAGTGTTATGAATTTTATGGCCACAGATTTTAGAAAATGATCTGATAACATCCATTCTGTTCTGTGGTCTGTTGCCTGCTGCAGGTACACACTTGGCAGGCGTGCTATTTGAATGCATAAACATGTCAAGAAAATGAATCCTTATT